ATATATACATATATAAATATATAAAATATAAAAAAAATTGATGTGGGTACTCAAATGAAAGGTTTCGATGAGTGTAACATCGGGGTGAGCTTATATCATTAAAAATATCAATAGTTTACAAGATATCTGTTAAATTGCACTGTAATTTTTTAAATATTGACATTTTCGAAGATATAAGCTCATTCTGATGTTACACTCATCAAGAGCTTTCGTTTGAGTACCCACATGCATTTTTTATATATTTTTCATATATACATATATATATATAAAATATATGAAAAAATTGATGTGGGTATTCAAATGAAAGGTCTCGATGAGTGTAACATCAGGGTGAGCTTATATCTTTAAAAATATCAATAATTCACAAGATACAAGGTCATTTCTTAATTATTGACATTTTTAAAGATATAAGCTCATCCCGATGTTGCACTCATCGAGATCTTTCATTTGAGTACTCACATGGCATTTTTTATATATTTTATATATATGCTATTTGTGATATATATAAATATATAAAATATATGAAAAATTGATGTGGGTACTCAAATGAAAGGTCTCGATAAGTGTAACGTCGGGGTGAGCTTATATCTTTAAAAATTTCAATAGTTCTCAAGATACAAGGTCATTTCTTAGTTATATACCTAGAGATTATAATTAAATTAATTATAATCTGTAATAATAAATTTCAGCAAAATAATACGAGACAAAAATATCTTCCGAAGAAGTAATTCAAAACTTCACGACTCAGCAGACGATACCGATGACCGAAGTGTCGTTAGCGAGTGTTCAAAAGGATTTCCCGTGAATTTATCATCAAGAACGAACACAGCGTTGACATCCGACAAACGTCTGCCAATGACTTCGGTTCTCAGCGGTGAAAATTCACAAATGACACCCAAAGAAATGTCGACGTTCATAATGCGCCAGGAAGAATACATCGAGCAGCTGGAGTCTGAGTCTCAGTACTGCAAAGAAGAACTAAAAAATTTACTCGGTAAAATTCGAGAGGTCGTTGCAGAAAATGAAGCTTTGCATGATAAGAATAAAACAGTGCTGCTAAAATCATTTTTGAATGAATATGACAATGCTGAAGAAAACAGCGGGAATAAGCCAGTGCTGGAGTTAGACCATGGACAGTCTAGTCCTGGAAAGAAGATAAAGTTACACCAGATGATTGAGGGCCCGAGCATAATGTATGAGTCAAGAATCAGCGAGCTAGAAGCTCAGTTGACTCAGGCGAGGATTGAGCTCAAGAAAGCTCAAGAAGAAAGCCAGCTGGGTGTCAAAAAATTTGCTGATGCTCCAGATCTCAGTCCAGAGACTGTTCAGCAGCTGGATCTGGTGTTGAAAGAGAAACGCGAGCTGTCTGGGAAGCTTGATGAAACTCTGAGAAGCTTGCAAGTCGCTCGGGATCGGGAAGCTGATGCTCTGCAGAAAGCCAAGCGTGCTATGGACAATGTTCAGCAGACTGAGTTCGAGAAAGCACAGGCTGAGTCTGAAGTTCGGAGGCTGAAGGACGAACTCGAGAGACAGCGTGATAAAATACGAGAAGCGACCCAAGAAACTACTCGGAGACTTGCTGATGAACGGCATCAGGTCGAGAGACGCTATGGACAGCAGGTTGAGCAGCTTTCTGCTGATGTTGCTACTCATTGGGATGCTGCTTCTAAGTCGCAGCTGGAGATTGAGAAACAACGCAGGGAAATTTTGGATCTTAAAAGAGAGTTGAATCAGAAACAAGCTATTATTGATGATCTGAAGAAAGATTTGCATAATAAAATTTGTGAGTTTTTATTTTAAATAAAAATTAATTTTAAGAAAAAATTAATTAAAAAAAAAATCAATTTTTTAATAAAAACTAGCACTATAAATTAATAAAATTTTTGTTTATTAAATAATGACTTTTGTTAAATTGCACTGTACTTTCTTAATTATTGACATTTTTAAAGATATAAGCTCATCCTGATGATACACTCATCAAGAGCTTTCATTTAAGTACCCACATGCATTTTTGATATATTTTTCATAAATACATATATATAATATATATATATATATATATATATA